TCAGGCACGGTGTCCCCAAACAGCCAGCGTGGTCCTGCCTGGACACATCCTCTCCTGTCTCTGTGCCCCAGGGCAGGGTGGCAGGTCACTCAAGATGTCCCCATACCCACAAGGCCTCCCGGAAAAGGGCAATTCTCACCCCAAAGGCCCGATTTAATGGCCCAGCTGGGCACCTATAGACATGCAAAGGCTGTCACCGCTCCGGGCCACGGTTGGCACCTCCAGAAATGCAAAGCGCTGTCCCGGAGCTCCTCCTGGAACTCTGAGGGGCTGCAGGGCGGTGTCACAGCTCCCAAGCCCACCCGGGGCACTTTCCAGCTCAGCCCGTGCCCAGCCCCGGCTGGGGTGCCCCAGTCCTCCTACGGGGTTACCCCATACAGCCAGTGGAGCCACCCCCGTGTCCCCCTGTCCCCGTGTCCCCACGGACACGCTGGTGCACACACGGTGCTGCCCCGGTGCAAGGCCATGGCTCAAGGCCATGGTTCGGCTCTGCCACGGGCTCTTGATGCCCCATCCCAGTAAAGCTCCTCCTCAGAGCTGTGCAGAGCCCCTGGCACCAGCCTGGCACTCTCACCAGTGTCACCCACGTGCCACACACACACCCCCACACCCACCCCTTGCCTGTGCAAACCGCCCGTGTCACTTTTGTGCAGACTTTGCACCAGGAGCCACCTGGGCTTGGCTTGTTCTTTCAGTGAACTGTGAACCTTACCTGGGTGTGCCAGCCCTGTGTCAGCACATGTATGTGCCAGCCCTGTGCCATGATCTGTGTGCCAGCCCTGTGTCAGCACATGTGTGTGCCAGCCCTGTGCCACGCCACGAGTGGGTGCTCCAGCCTTCCACAGCCCCTGAGCTCTGTGTTCCACCCCTGCCCTGTCTCATGGCACTGCAGCCTGTCCTGTTCCTGTGTGCCATGTGCCACCCTCACCCCAACACATGTGTGTGACACTGTGGCCCATCCCACTCCTGTGTGCCATGTGCCACTCTCACCCTGTCACATGTGTGGCACTGCAGCCTGTCCCTCTCCTGTGCCCATGTGCCACCCTCACGCGTGTCACACACGTCACACCGCAGCCCACCCTGCTCCAGTGCCCATGTGTAACCCTCGCCCTTGTAACATGTGTCACACCCTTGTCCTCAAATCCATGTGATACCACAGTCCTGAACCTATGCCCATGTGCCACCCTCACCCTGTCACACACGTGTCCCACTGCAGCCTGTCCCTCTCCTGTGCCCATGTGCCATCCTCGTACATGTCACAGGCATAATCACACCCACAGCCCAGCCCTCTCCCGTGCCCATGTGCCACCCTGCCCCGTCACACACGTCACACCGCAGCCTGTCCCTCTCCTGTGCCCATGTGCCATCCTCATACATGTCACATGCATGTCACATGCATGTCATACCGCAGCCCAGCCCTCTCCTGTGCCCATGTGCCCCTCTGTCCCCTGCCCCACCCGTCCTGTCCCTGACCCCCGTGTTTCCCCGTGGCGGGTGTGTGTGTGTATGTCTGTGTGTCTGTGTGTGTGAGGGGTGTATGTGTGTGTGAGGGGGTGTGTGTGTGAGGGGTGTATGTGTGTATGAGGGGGGTGTATGTGTGTGTGAGGGGTGTATGTGTGTGTGTGTGTGTGAGGGGTGTATGTGTGTACGTGTGTGTGTGTGTGAGGGGTGTGTGTGTATGTCTCTGTGTGTGAGGGGTGTGTATGTGTCTGTGTGTGTGTGTGAAGGGTGTATGTGTGTGTGTGTGGGGTGTATGTGTGTGTGTCTATGTGACGGGTGTGTGTGTTGTGTGAGGGGTGTATGTGTGTGTATCTGTGTATGGGGGGGGGTGTGTGTGAGGAGGGGGTGTGTGTGTATGAGGGGTGTATGTGTGTGTGTCTGTGTGTGTGTGTGTGAGGGGTGTGTGTGTGTGTGTCTGTGTGTCTGTGTGTATATGTCTGTGTGTATGAGGGGTGTATGTATGTATCTGTGTGTGTGTCTGTGTGTGTGTGTGTGTGTGTGTCTGTGTGTGAGGGGGGGGCTGCGGGAGCGCGCGCGCGGTGCGGGGGCAGCTGAGGACAGTGGGGAAGGGAGGGGAGGAGGGAGGGAAGGCGCGGGGAGGGACCCCGAGGCCGCGCCCGCCCCTCTCTCCCCCGCCCGCCCCTTCCCCTCCCTCCCTCCCTCCTTCCCTCCCTCCTCCCGCGTCTGTCGCGTCGCTCGGGCCCGGCCCGGCCCGGCCCCGGCGCCTCTCATTGTGCTTCGCCTCACGCCGGCCCAAGATGGCGGCGGCGCCCGAGAGCCCCGCGAGCCGCCAACGACAATAGAGGGAGGGCCGGGACCCGCCGCCCCCGCCCCGCGCCCGCCGCCCTCCCGCCGCCCCCGCCGCCCCCGCACCGCGCACACGCCCCCCGGCCCGGCCCGGCCGCCGCACCCCGCCCCGGCCGGCCCCTCTTAGCATGGTGCGGGGCCGCCGCCGCCTCGTCCTCCGGCTGCCGACATGGGCGAGAGGCTGGAGCTGCGGCTGAAGTCGCCCGTGGGAGCCGAGCCCGCCGTGTACCCGTGGCCGCTGCCCGTCTACGTGAGTATGGCCCGGGCCCCGCACCTGCCCTGTCAGCGCCCCCCGGCCCTGCCCCGGCCGCGGCTCTCGCTCGCTGCTCCCCCATCCCTCGGGCCCTTCCCGGGATCCATCGGGGTGATCCCCCCCTTCCCTCAGGCGGGATGAGCCCCCCGGGGTCTTCCATCCCCCCCCAACCCCCGCCTCTCCCAGAGCCCCGGCCCCGGGTGCCGCCGCCGCTCGCCCTGGAAGTCAAATCCCCGATTTCATTTTATAATTGGTTGACTAAAAGCGAAGGGCGGGGAGGAGGAGGACTGGTTAATGAAAAGTTTTCGTGTTTTCCCTTGAGCCGGGCTCGTGTGGCCGGGGTAATAAAGCGGGGGCCGCTCGGAGCCGGGGTGGGAATGCGGGGATTCCGGCTGGGCAGCGGCGCTGGAAGGATGGGTGGCCCCGGGTGGTCGCGGGGACCCCCGGGAGCCGCCGCAGGGTGGGAATCGGGGGCGGCGAGCGCCGGCCGTGGGTCGGGAGCCAGCGCTGGGTGTCACGGGCTGCCGCCGGTCCCCCTCCGGCCGTGCCCTTGGAGCTCCCCTTTTTATTTACCCCCGGCAGAATTCCGAGCCAGCCGCAGCCCTCGTGCTCCCAAATAAAATGTCACTTGTCCTCGCTTTAGTTACCCGGCCGCGTTTTTCCCTAAGTTGCCTGACTTTCCGCCGAGCCCGGGCGAGCGATGTGTGACCTTGATAACAATGTCCATGTTCGAATTAGTGACAATCCCACGGGAGCCGAAAGGCTCGGGAGGGTATTTTTGGACGCGTGTGGGCTCCCTATCAACCGCTGAGCGATCTTTCGCCCGGCTTGCAGCACCTTAAGAGAAACAGCCCGTAAAGGAAAAATCTCCCCGTGTATTTTCCCCCGGCCCCGAGCACTGTTGATCATCCCTGCGTTCCAGGCTTTGCCGCGGTACGTGAGAACACGCCGGGACGCGCAGGCTGGGGCAGCTGATACCGCTGATGTTGTTGTCGCTGCTCTCTTGGCAATCGCGAAGCGCTTGTGTGTGTGTGTGCGTGAACGATTAGGAACATCTCGCTCGTGGCAGGGGAGATGGCTGCGGGCTCCGGTGAGCCCTGCGGAGCCGCTGCCGTGTCCCTGCCTTCCCAAACAGGCTCCCTGGCGGCGGTGGCGGGGCCGGAGCCCGGCACATGCCGGCTGAGCGGGGTTCCTGTTTCCCTGTCAGCCGCCTGTGTTGGCGGGCGCGCGCTCCGCTCAAATTGTCAGAAACTGAAAGTGCAGCGATGACCACAGTTCGGGTTGGGCTGCGCGTCGCCAAACATTAACTCGTGTTCCCGCGGCGGCTTGCTGCGAGGCAGAGGTTAGGGATTATACGGGACAGGGGTTAATCTGGGAGGGAGGGGTGGTTTTCTGTCTATTCACAGAGATCCCCTACAGGCTTGAAAACCGATAAACCGACAACACCCCCCTCCCCTTTATTTTAAGGGTGAAACGTGTGTTTTGCAGCACGGGAAATGAGGATTTGGTTAATTCAGGAGAACTTGAGCAGCTGGTTCTGAAGATGGCAGAGCACGTAGAATTTTTTTTTTTCCCCAGAAGAAGAAGAAATTCTGGGGAATTAATTTCTTCCTCTTAACCAGAAATGCCGGGGGGGGGTGGGTAAGAAACACCCCAAACCTCCTGCCCTTAAAGTGTCCCCTTCCCACTGCCGGCTTTTCCACGGCCATTCACGAGTGCGTGGTTCATCTGGAGCCCATCGATGTCCCTCCCCGCAGCTCCGGGGAGCGGGCCGGGCTGCGTGCGTGGGACACGCGTGCTCGCACACACGCGCGCTGCGGATGAACCCCGGAGCTTTGGAAGCAAATCCCTCTCTGCCCGTGGCCTGCTGACACTGTGCTCTGCTGAACTGCAGATGTGCCTCCCCGGCAGCACCGAGGCGGTTTGGTTTGAGAGGAGAGCTCTGTTTGACGTAAGCACAACATTTCTTAGTTTCACCAGCGGTGCTGCTGTGTGGTTCTGAGTGAGCCAGGTGGGATACCTCAGGTGTGGGGGAAAATATGCTTCAGGTAGTTTTATTTAGCAGCATTCTTGCCGTTTCCTGTCCTAGGTGAGGTGTGTTTTCCAGAGGGAGCTGGAGGGAAAGGGCAGGGGAAGCTCGGGGTCCTGGCGGGTTATTCTGGTGAGATCAGCAGGACTGGCAGGGGATCATCTTTCCCAACATCCGAGGCTGTGTATTGTAAACCTGCTGCGTGACGGCTTCCGTGGGGTGATGTAACCCTGCCTTGAGTAACTTGGCTATTTTTATGCTCTTACTACATCTTAAATTAGTGGCGTCGGTGCCGCTACGTAAAAGGCTGAGCTCCCCTATTAACGGGTCCCTGGATTAATAACGTGGCTCTTTATTGCCGGGCTGCTCCTCATTTCCCGTCTAAATAGGAAAAGTGGGGTCTCCTCAGCCTGCTGAGCCCGCATAGCAGCCCGGCTGCCAAGCTCGTTGGGACGCTAAAAGAGCCGGGGAGGCTGATGTGAAACATGTATTTCCCTCCGCGTGTAATTAGGGCCGTGGGAGGGGAGAGCGGTGGCGGAGCAGCTCCAGCCTCCCACTGGCTCGCACACAAAACCGAAAGTGCGGCTCCTTCCCCCGCCTTCCTCCGGCTCAAAGGGGAGGCCGCGGTGCCCCGAGGAGGCCGTGCCGGCCGTGCCACACCGCGATGAGTAAGTTGAATGGTGCACGGTGAGTAATCTCTCCTCATGACTCACAAAATATTTTCTGATGTTGACCTCTGTTTCGGTGACTGCCCCTCTTAATCAGAGCCGGAGTGAGTGTACTCTTTTGTGGCGCGCTTGACTCCTGCCCTCTCACGGACCTGCCCTGCCTTCCGCCGGGCTCGGGTTGTCAGAGACCGCTGACAGGGCATGAACACTTGCATTTTGGTGCTGGCCTGAATAAAGGAAGCATTTAGCTGAGAGTTAATGGGTCCAGGTGGTCTTAAACAGGCTGCTGCCAGCGGGGGTGGTGTTTGTAGTGGTACTTCAGGTATTGCTTCGTACTTACCTCTGATGGAGACTGCAGGTGAAGTCCTGTTTGGTTCTAAGGCTTGGGATATTTAGGGTTTTTCCACGGAATTTTCCTTAAAATGGTTCATGCTCTTGTCTCGGACTTTTATTATAGTTAAAGCTGAATGTGGGTTAGGTTTAAACATGGGTTTTGTTTTCGTACCATGATAAGCTCTGCCTGATCTGTGAGGTGTCTCATGTTGGACTTTGAACTCCTCTTGACAAGTTCCTGCTTAGAGTCCCAGCCTGCTGCCTGTGGGGGAGGGAAAAAGGGCTGTGTGGTGTTGTGGGGGATTTTGGGGGTTTTTCGTTGCCTTTTTTTTTTTTTTTCTTTACTCTGGATCTGTGGCATGACTGAGCAACTGGAGGTTCAGAGCTGCTCAGGCTGATAACTGTCCCTAAAATCGCTGTTTGCTGGCCTGCACCCTGTCACAGCATTGGAGCTGGTGAATGTGGAAAAACCTGTTTGCTGCCTGTCAGAGAGAGGACACCGGGGTGCTCTCATCTCCTCTCCTTAGGGCTTGCAGTGATCCCAGTCAGTGGTGACACAGGGGACAGGAGGCACAGCCAGGTGATGAGGGAGGGCCTGGCTTGGAGTGGCTGTGGCACCGTGTCCTTCACTGGCTGGGAGTGACTCAGTGCCCGTCACGTCCAATAGTGAGCAAGTCCTTTCAAGTTTCAGAATTAGGCATCTGCCTGTGGTGCTGTGCTCTGTTCCCTGGTGAATGGCAATCCCCCAGAAGGTGACTGGGAGCCTCTGTGTGCCTCAGGTTTCCTCGTGTCGTGTTCCCCCCTCGCTGTTTGACTCGTGAGGGCCCAGGGTTTGTGCAGTGACAGCACCTGGGAACTCCTCCTGCAGCCCAGGCTGCTGCTGGGGAAGACCCTGGGGAGCCCAGTAGGGTCTTGCTCTGGGTATAGAATTATAGAGTGGTTTGATTTGGCAGGGACCTCAAAGCTCATCTCATTCCACCCCCTGCCATGGGCAGGGACACCTTCCACTCTCCCAGGTTGCTCCAAACCCCATCCAACCTGGCCTTGGACACTTCCAGGGATCCAGGGGCAGCCACAGCTGCTCTGGGCAACCTGTGCCAGGGCCTGCCCACCCTCACAGGGAAGAGCTTATTTATCTTCTGCCCTATTTACCATATGTTAATACCATTTTTTTCATCTCCTACCATTTTTGTTCCCTTGCTCCTCCTCTGTGCCGGGAGGGGACAGTCCTGCTTGTGCCACTGCACACATCCTGCCAGGGTCAGGTGCCTCTGCCCCGAGCTGCTCAAGCTTAAACCTCCAAATTAGCAACTGGGAGGAGAAGTCTGGCTTGAATAATTCATTGTTTTGTCTGTGTTCCTCCTTGTTGCTGCTGACTTTCCACTCAGCTGTGATGGCAGGAAAATTCTCGTTTTCTAATTGGGTGTTGTCAGAGCATCACCCCGCACGAGGAGAGGTTTGTGTGGCTGCTGCTGGGAGTAGTGGGGTACAAACCTGGTACTTCTGGACTCTGTACAGGCTTAGGGGGGTGCAGAGTGTGTCTGTGGTGGGTTTTTTCCCTGTCTCCACTGTCCTGATCCAGCTGATACCATTCTGTCACCGGAGGAATGTGCTGTGCAGGGAAAGCTGAAGGGCAGGCAGTGGTAATGAAAATCACAGCCCAGCAGGGAGCATCACCTTTGAAATGAAAGATCAACAGGAGAGATGAATAACAGACCTTGTTTGGGAGTTTCATCCCTTTTTTCCTTTGTGTGTCACCCAGCTTTACTGGCAAGTTCCTCTGATGAGTAACTTTGCCTTTCCAGGCAGCTGGGCAGGTCGAGTGCCACAGCACGGTGCTGTAGATCGATTTGGGAAGGTCCTAAATTGGAGCTAAATTGGGGTTGGAGCCGCTGAGGGTGGTCCGGTTCCCCCTGCCCCACATCCATCCCATCCCCATCCCATCCTGTGCCGCACTCCCAGCTGATGGAAAACAGCCTCACGTTCTGCTCGTGCCTTTTTTTCCCTGGGATCAGTTGGAGGCAGCAGGTGGGACGTGGGGAGGGGGGTGAGTGTCACGGTGAAGCCCCCCTGAGTCACGGCCGGCGGTGGGGAAGGCGGTGTCCGTGGGATCTCTGTGTGTGTGGGGCGGCTCTGGGAACCGGAGCGCTGGAAATGATCCTCGCCGCGCACAAAAAATGTTGCAGTGTTTTCTCACCCCCCCCCATCCTCCACCGCCCTGCTCTGAAATGTGAGTCACTGCCTGCCCAGGGAGGGGGTGGCAGCGGGGGGAAACTGTTGCTCTGCCTTTGCCAGGCAAAGCCTCCTCACCCCCTGAGTAATCGCCCAGAAATTCGGCTGCGGTGGCAGAGCTGAGGGGATTTCTCTGGGCTGGGAGATGCTGTTGATGCAGCTCACTTGGGAAATGTTTGGTGGGGGATGACTAATCACTTCAGAGAAACTTCTCTAAGTCAAGGAAAGGTCTGCAAACATCATCGAACTTCTGATTTCTCAGCACCCCCTGCCCTGCCCGGTTGTAAAAACACCTGGAGCGGGGCAGAACTGGGCGATAATGACCTGGTAATTCCAAAAGCACTTGGCTTTCTCTTCTGCCCGGCACATCTACACAAACAAATGACACAGTTGGCACAGTTGCATCATTTTCTCTGCCCGTTCTGCTCTCCCCAGAGCCGCGGGGACCCAAAATGTGCTCCTGGGGGGGAGGTGGGGAAGGCAGATGAGCCCCGCAGTGTTTAATTGTGCAGCACGTGGGGAGCACAGAAGAGCAGTTTCCTTCTGGGCTTTACCCTTTGAAGTAGAACTTGCCCCGGGTGACAATCGGTGCTTGTTCAGTCCTCAGACTGGCTTTTGTTCCCAGCTCTGACCCGTTGGATACAAGATAAATCATGAGTTCACTTAACAGGCGCTTTTTCCCCCCAGTATTTCTGGCTGAAAAGTGAAAGCTGTTCTCTTGTGCATCTCAAGACCACACTGGTCTTTATTTTTTTTTTCATGTAACTTATTTATCTGAAAGGTAACTGCTGGAAGACAAAGTAGCTGTCCAAGATTGCTTGTTTTTCCCAGTTTTTTTTTTTTTTTTTTTTCCCATCAGCAGATGAGTGAGGATTAATGTTCCTGTCCTGGCTGAAGTTCCAGCTCAGACAATTCCAGTTTATCCACCTACAAACCTCCCCATCAGTTCCAGTGGGACACAGCCCTGGAAGCTTTCAGGGTGCCAAGGGACATTGGTGCCACCAGGAGCAGCCCCAGCTCTTGTCCTTGGTGGCAGCCTGATTATCTATGGAGATGATTATCCTTTCAAGTCTCAGAGATGGGACTGAATTGTGTCCCTCCGGGGAATTTAGGCAAAATATCTTACCTCTTGGTATGTGAGATTTATGGGGAATTTAATCACCCTTCTCCCCAGGCATCCATATGTCTATTTTGTTCTCTTCCTTCTTTCTTTTCCTCCTTTCACACTGGCTTGTTTTTTTTTGTTTTTTTTTTTTTTTTTTTTTCCCTTCCTGCTCTGGGTTAACCTTTAACTGTCTGATTAAAGCTTTGCACTCTAATGATCAACACAAGGACCAGGGCTGAGGAGGGTTTTTTTGTCCCTCACAGTGTCTTTATCACAGATTGATATTCACAAAGTGCCCCAACGTATTTTTGCTTCACTTATTTTCTCCTTCCTAACAGAAAGATCCCCAGAAGGAGGAAAAGTTCACATTGTGAACATCATATATTTATTTTCATGGTGATTATTAAAGACCAAACTGACTCTGAGGAGGAACAAGAAACAAGGCTGAGTGCACAGAATTGACCACGTGCTGCTATAGATATCAAGTTGGGCAGGGGTTATTTTTAGAGCATAGGAAGAGGGTGAGTATATTTTGCAGCAGGAAATGATGGTTTCATAGATATGACCAGATCTGTGAATAACGGCAGAGTTCCTGTTCAGAGTGTTTGGGTTTGTTTCGTTTCATGAGTGAATGAGAGTCCTCTGAAAATGTGCACTGAAAGGACTTTTCAGTGTTGGGGGAAAAATCCAAAGGGCTGCTGACGGCAGGTAAATGAAGCATTGGAAAGTTTAGCAAACCAAACACTACTGAAAGTTCTCAGTAAGTTCCTTGGTAGAAAATGGATGGATTTTAATAGTATTTTTGTGGTATTTTCTGTGTAGTGTGAAGGGCAGTTTCCTGAGGTTTTGGGCATTAATGTCATTTACTTCTTAGGGCTCAGCAATATTATTGATGTTTGACTGTCAGACTATTGACTAAGTGACTGACCCTTCTGAAACTCCAAAAACTGTGAGCTTTGGGGGCTGCTCTTCCATTCCTGGATGAATGAAGCTTCCTGGAAAGCTGGATTCCCACTGGGATTCAAGTGCTTCCCTCAGGTTTCCATATCTGTTGGCAGCAAGACCTGGGAGATGAGGGGGTGGCTCAAGGTGGCCTCTGACCCTCTGGAGCTGGATTTGGAGTCTGTGTGGATCCTGCTCTGGTTTCCATCCCTGCTTGCTACCACAGACACTGCTGTGTGTGTGATACCTCATTTACGAGGATTTAAAGTAAAACTTGTAAAAAGTGGTTGGGATTTGATGTTGTCTGTTCAGAACCTGCACTGGAAGGAGGAAAAACCACATCCATTTATATTTTACTTTTGCCCCTCACCAAACCCCTTTTTTAGGGGCCTTGTGTGTTCAGAAGG